GGAAGGAGAGTGAAGTCTTCTGTAGCCCTGAGAAGTACGATATCTTCCCCCATAACGATATGAGTAATCCAGAGATGACCTCCTGGATGAGTAAGCACTGCCATACCCACTCCTATAAGATCTCAAAGGCGAGCGAGTGGGCGAACGAGATCTACAGGAGGGCACCCCATAATGGGGCAAGGGATGCCTATACACGTAGGTATAATGAGATCTCAAGTACCAATGTGGGGATCGGGGGCTACGCCGATAGTGAGGCTCATAGGACAGTGAACGGTACCATGGAGGAGATGGAGACAGTGCTGGGGAGAACACAGGTGATGGAGAGAGGGATATCCTTCTCGGAACCGATTTTCTTACCACCTTTGTCGGAACAGAGGAAGGCACGGCGTGAGACGCATCAGTGGAGATGTGCTTTGGCGAAGTGTGGTCCTCATCATCCAGCACTAGCATTGGAGAATGCCGTACTGATGAGGATGGGGAACCCAAGTATGCCGCCGGTGCCGCATCTGGAGTCAGGTCACAGTACTCTGGCAGCGCCGTGTTCGCCTCTCTATGAGTAGGCGGTACCGGCCCTGGCACCATGGAATGTCTCCCCTTCGGCACTGGCCGCTGCACCGGTGCCAACTGGTGCCAACTGGGAACCCAATTGTTGGGGTTCCCCCGATGGCTTATGGGACGCCGGCGCTGTCGGTGCCATTGATGGCTGCTGCAGTGCTGGCCTCGGTGCTGGTTCATGCGCTGCGTGCCGTCCCACGACCGGTGCCGAGGTTCGCGGCTCCGGCGCATGCGTAGATGGCCATTTCTGGAGCAAAGGCGCCGCTTTCTTGCCCGCAACTTTAATAGCACTCAAAGGCGCCGGCACTGATGAGGAGCGCACCAAAGGCTTAGGCACTTTGGAATTGGTCTGTGCCCCGGTCTTAACAGGCTGATGGGCCATTCCTGAAGTGCCCGGTTGACTTATTTTAGTCAGAGGAGCAGCGGCTAAGGAGTGTGCCAGGGAGGCTTTTTTCCTCTTCTTAGCGGTCAACTCTCCTGGTGGTGACGTTCTCCACTTGTGCTCCATGGTGGAGTCCTGCTGGGCCGCCTCAGAGGCTGAAGTGCCTTGTCGAAGAGAATTAGCTTCAGCCTCATGTCTCTATCCCTACGTGCCCTGGCAGTTAGCCTGGAACAGTGGGCACACTTGTGAGGGATATAAGACTCCCTCAGGCAACGTATACAGGCGTCGTGGCCATCAGATGCCGGCATGGGGTCTTTGCACTAGGAGCACTTTTAAAAACCTGGTGAGCCAGGCATTTTGGCTCCCACTTCAGCGGGCGTTCAAACAACTAATAACTAGAACTAAGAACAGTAACTGGTTTAACTAACAAACTCATTAACCTTAACTTTCTTTTGTAAATACAGCTAAACTACTAAGTACTAACTAACTAAAGTAAGACACTAAGAAAACTTAAAGAACTTTTAACTTTGTTTGTAGAAAGGCGTATTTTCTGAGGAGAGACAATGGAGCTCCGCCAGTAACCGAGGATGGTTGAGAGGAACTGGAGAGGGGCCGAACCGCGCAACGAAAGAGAGGGCACAAACGGTGCGCTACGGCTATGGCTACTGCGCAGGAGTGGCACAGCCAACTACAGCTATGAAAAGCCTCCAACCAGCGGCGCCGGAACGAGCCTGACACCTAGAGTGGAGCACCCACGGGGACCACTCGAAGAAGAACTGTTCTTTGTAGTTAAAATTTGTAAGATACAGCTCCTCCAATATACATGTTGGACATACAAAGAAGAATAGTTAAAAGTTCTCAGATATATTCTTTTGAACATTCACTGTTCATTAGCCTGAATAAGAATTACCTTTTTATTCAATATGTATGAGTAAGTTTCTGCAACAGAATTTTAAAGTTTCAATTTTATCTTGGGAGTTATCATCCATCTACATTCTGAGTACAGTGTAAAATAAAATGTTATGTTTAGAGTAAACGAAATAAGAACACTGGGAAAAAAGCTGTTCAGTGTCAAGATGATAATGACTTATAGACATGTCTGAAGGGTCCAAATGATTACCGGTGTTGTAATATATAAGGAAACCTGTATAAGACATCACCCTTACAAGGCAATCTCATCTTATAAACACCCCGGAGTTTTCAAGTGTATTAAATACAGTTCTGTCCCACATTTTCGTAATGAAGTTGATTTGAGTTTGAAATGTCGCATTTACATATATGCTGACAAAGAAAATTCCCAATGAATTACATTTAAAAACCTCCACTTCTGTTCCTCATGAGAAATTTGCCTACAAAAGAGGAAGAGTAAATATAAAGTATACTCCATGTATTAATAGTAAAAATATTCTGGAATATGTACACCACCATACCTGGCAGCTAAATTGACTTCATATGTTTTAATTAATTACCTGTACTGTATCTAATAAAAGCTATGCTACTGAATGAAGAGAGAAATACATTACATTGATGCTGACAATTGTTAGGAATTATAACCTAGGAGAGAAGGTGTCTAAAAGTCTGTCAGAATTCTCCACTAAACAGTGAACAATACAGTACGCAGAAAGTAAACAAATATATATTCCAAAAGGCTACATCTAAATTTGTAGAAAAATGTATGATGTAGTATTTGAGAAATAGCATGTGATATTACAGATTACAAACCTTACCTTTGTAGTCTAACACTGAGAAATCAGTAAATGACATAGACTTATATTCAATTATCTTTTTCCTATGGAAACAGCTTATATAGTACAAAAGCAACCAAGCACCATCTAGTGGCAACATCTCATAATATTATTTCAGTCTATACTTTGAATTTAAGGCAGTGGTTCTCAAACTTTTTGGCCTGCGGCCCATCCCACTCAACATAAACCTTTCTGTGGACCACCAGTAAAATACAATATTACTTTACGTCCAAAACAAAAAGTTTCAACATTGTCTTTATTCAAGAGCGGGGAACCTTTTTTGGGTCGGGAGCCACCGAGGTTCAGGGATTCCCACAGTCTACATTAACTATTCTGGGGTCAGTAAATTTTGAGAGCCTCCCCAGGCCCTGGGATGGGGCCAAAAATGAGAGGTTCATTGTGCAGGAGGGGGCTGCCAGAGAGTGGGATACAGATGAGGGTGTGAGGCCTGGCCAGAAGGGAGAGTGCAGGAGCAGGCTGGGGGCGGGGTGTCTTGGTGGGGTGGGGATGGTGGTGGTGTCTGTGAGGGTGATGGGGGTGCAGGGTCTGAGCATGAGGAGGTGGGGGGCACTTACCTGGCTCCATGCTCCCGACTGCTCTCAGGCACCGCATTCCAAGCACCACCTCCTGTTCCCTTTTGGTCATGATTCCTATCCAATGGGAGCAGTGGCGAAAGCCTCCAGGTGAGTGGTTTCCTCGCTACCATTCTCCCAGCCAGGCGATGGGGCAGTGGCTTGTGCAGAGCTGCTTGCTCCCCCCGTGAGCTGGATCTGTCCCGCAAGGCTTAGGGCTCCTCCCTCTAGCAGGAAGCCAGCACTGGTGCTGTAAGTTAATCATATTACCACTCTTACCTGTTAGCAAAGAATAAGGAACTACGAGCCAAATTTTTAAAGGTATTTAGACTCCTAAAGATGCAGCTTGGTGTTTTTGCTGGTATGTGGTGACTGATGGTTGCTGTGTCAACTCCTCAATTGCAAAGCCAACACCTGGTCTGTACATTTCACGAGGAGTAATGGTAGTTCGAACTAGGAAGCCTAGTCCGAACTACCTAGTTCATGCCCCGTGTAGCCGCGCTGCACGGGGTTCGAACCAGCGGGGTTTTAAAAATGGCGGCTCCCCGCTTATGCAAATGAAGCCCGGGAAATTCAAATCCCGGGCTTCATTTGCAAGTGCGGTATGCCTACATTACCCTCCTAGTCCGAACTAGGAGGGTAGTGTAGACATACCCTCAGACTCAAGGGCCAAAAGGGTTTTTAGACTGCCTTGAGGACCAGTACCTGCCAAATATATAGAAAACCTGTATGCCCCAGTGGGACTGAAATTAATACCTTTACAGCTCAGAACAGGTTTACTATGGGGACTCAGGCAAGAGAAGCAGACTGACTGCATGCCAGACTGAGTGGACTCTATGCAGTGCTCCATCTGGCCAGAGGAAATGCTTTCACATTAACATACCAGCTCACAGGAACCTAACACCCATTCAAAAATCTGGTCCTATCTCACTTTTAGAATGCAAGGCAACGAATCAGTGAGGTAGAAGTCTCTGCTCGCTAATCAAGTTAATTAGCCTAGACATGGAGAAGATACAAACACAGTAGGTCCTCTCTGGACCCACTCAGTGGGAATTCAAGTGTGTGGCTAGGATGGGAGGGTGGGTGGAAGCTGGGGGATAGACATTTTCTGTATTGTCACTCCCACCCAGGCCTATGGAAACTCCAGGCTGCTGAAGCTGCCTTGAGGCGAAGAGGAGGGGGGAGCAGCCAGCAAAAGACTTGCTAGCAGCACGACTAATGAAGATAGGGATGTTAAAGATTAACCCGTTAACAAAGTAGGACCTGGAGCAACTCCCTGCACTCTGGGCAGGACTACTCCTGCCCTGTGGGGCCCACCAGCACAGTCCCTGTCTGTGGCAGACCAGCTAGACCCCTCCATCCCTCTCCCACCGCAGGTTACAAGCTGGTTCCCCAGGACTGGAGTGGCAGTTCCTGCTGGCAGCATAGCCAGGAGGTGACTTCACTGTTGGCTCTGCAGTATAAAGCTTAAATAAGCTTATACTGCAGAGTCCGCAGCGTGTGTAACCACTATGATTTTTAAGCGGTTATATGGTTACATTCTTAAACACATTTTTATATCCCTAAATGGAGCTGTTCTGCATTGGAGCCTTGGGTAGCCCAGATGGCTGTGAAGACACAAGGCCCCTAAGGATATCTTGGAGGATACAGTGGTTTGGGAGGACAATGCCTAGCTGTTTCATAGGTGTTAAGAGAATCTCTCTCCACTGATGGAATTCCAACTAGTGAACTTCATAGAATGACCCATTCTGGTCCCTCATTTTTAATTCATTATTTCTACATTGGAGACAATCTGTTCCATGGAGAAACCTCTCACCTGTCTGCCACTAGGCTACAACTCTCTAAAGAAGAGACAATGACAGATGTGTGTCTTTCAGTGGGGAAACCTTGTTGGAGACGTGCAAGGGCCCTGGCTCCAAGAGTGACACAAGGAGGAAGCTTGATGTGCCTGCTAACATCTGAAGACTTCCACATTATGTGACTCTCTCTCCAAAAGGGAAGAACTTGAGTGTGCAACCTGGCTGGAGGGCTGAGTCATTAAAAAGGACAGCAGAGCTATAATGGGAAAGGGGGAGGCCTGGGAAGAAGAAAACCTGCCATACCTTAGCCTGATCACTACATGGCATTTCCAGTGACTGTTCCTTTTCACAGTCACACTGCTAATAACAGTATCCTTGCCTGCCTTCCTTCAGTGCCCTAGCCTCTCTCATCTGTGTGCTATTTGTACTGAATACCTAACAGTCAGTAAAGGACCTGATCCAACCCCCATTGTAGTCAATAGGTCTCCCTATCAGTGATGCTAATGATGAAGGGTGGGGAAAGGTCAGGCACATGCCCACCCCATGTACCGCAAGTTTTTTGCATTTGCTCAAAGTATCACAGGCTGCAGAACAGAGGTAGATGAAGGGAGGACATGGCAGTGATTCCATACTAAGATCAGTTCATCTCTGGTGTATTATTAGTCTGGAGCATCAGTCTACCTATGTGGTCCACACATTTTACTTTGCCACGCCTCTGTAAAGACGGAAGGGTAGCTAAGCCAAATTTTAGAGAATGGCATTTTGACTTGTCACACAGAGTCACAATACCAATCCCATTTCCTCTGGCTGCCTTGCTGGGCTACATAGAGACTCTACTTGAAACTTAGGTTATCTGTTCCTATATGGCAGCATGTGAGTGAATCTACTGATAACTCAACTCCTAGCAGCACCGACTCATGCACTGTGTGTGTAAGAGGGGCGAATACGACTATACAACCATTGCATAGAGATTCCAGAATGGTCATTTAATCCTTTTTCCATTAGGCTGTAAGGATCCTGGGACAAAGAGCAGGGACTGTGTTCTGTCTCTGTATAGTACCTAGTACAATAGAGTTCTATGCACTACAGTAATCAATGATGAGCACTAGATTAATTTTAATAAAATAAACCAGCTAAATGCTGCATTCTTCTCTACAGTTAGGTGTGATAATTGTAGCAAAGTTCTTTCCTGGAACTTTTCCTGCTTTCAAGTTTGTGAAATGCTCAAAGAAATTGGAATAGTTTTACAATAGACAAAAGTTTTTTTTTTTTTTTTGAAAGCTAATGCTTTCACTATTTGAATGACTGAAAATGTAAGGAAAATTCACATTACTTTTAAAAAGTCTGATCTGTATTGGTTGGTTGTAACTGGCACAAAATACATTGTTGCAGGGTGAGCTTACCTTTTTCCCTCTGGGGTGGGTGTTGGGCCTATGGGGCCCCTCAAATGGTGCTCAAACCCACATGTGTACCAGTTTGGGGAGGCAAGTGCTATGCCTCCCCTCCCGACTATACCCGTAACTTGGCTGGGACATCTCAGACCAGGACCAAACCATGTCTGTCCCAAGCCATATGGTCTGGTGGCCTGAGTCTCTAACAATGCCCTCCTCCTGCCAGGTAGTGTAGCCCAGCACCCAGAGCTACTGGCAACACCCTCCTCCCACAGGGAAGTGTGGTCCAGAAGCCAGAGCCAATAATAATGGGTGTAACTCCCCATATGGGGTTGGTGAGAATGGGGTAGGAGGATTGTGACAGGGTACGGTTACAGAAGACCCCTTGTTAGTGCTTCCCAGAGTGCTGACAAAGCCACTGACACTTGCCTCTTTGCTCCCTGGGGCGTTTCACCATCTTTGTCCTGCTGGGCCAATCATCTGGTCTCCTCCAGCCAAGTCACAGATCAGAGATCACCACCCACTCCCCCTCTCCTCCGAGGAGCAAGAGAGACACTGAAACTCATCAGATCTGAGGAAAATGCAGTTTGAGGCCCATTCTCCCAGGAAATGACTCCACAAATGGGATCAGAACCTCAAATAAATTATTCAGGGAAGAACCCTTTAACAATGAAAGGGGGATGTACGCACTGTTTACTCCTCCAGGTAAAAGTTATTTACACTGGGCTTGATAGTAAATAAGTGATTTTATTAAGTACAGGCAGTAGGTGTTAAGTGGTTACAAGTGAAAACAGGCAGAGCAAAGTAGATTACAAATTTAAAACAACAGAAAACACATGGCTAATTCTAACACTAAAATCTCGGTACAAACTTACCCCAAAACTATCCTTATTTCAGCTAAACCTTGAAGCCAGGGAAGGTCTCTGGTTCGTTCTCTTGGGAGTGACCTGCTAAACAAAGACAAAGACAAAGAGACTGAAAACTTTGCACCCCAAGTAGCCTTCTTTTTAGGATGGGAATTCTTTGTCTGTACATTCCACCCCCCAAAATTACCTGGTTTGACTCTACCAATTTGGAGGGTGTCACATGACTTCCTAAGACTAACCACTGCTCAGGACAAAGGAGGCTTTTTACAAGTGCTCACCCAGACATTGAGGGAAACACCCCTAATGGTTTTCATTTGCACATTTAAAACCATAAGCCATATCTCTAACTTAACATCTAAGAGTGATTCATACACCAAAATAAGATATACAGATCCAGCAGCTTGTGGCATTCAAATTGAAAGGTTACATGAGGTATTTTGTCCAAAGCATCAAGTTATGCATATTGGTATCCATAAGTCAATTTCATAAAGTGGGGGGAGATGAGGAAAACCATCACAAGGACCCAGGCCCACCTTCTCCACCGAGTGTCACTTCAGGCCCCATCAGCACTGGAGTGGTCCACCATTAGCTCAGCAGGGAATTCCACCAAAGAACATCAAGCTCCCCACCGTGGGCTTCTTCCTACCCAACTCTCCAGCATAGTCTTCTCCAGCTCTTCCTGCCAGTCTGGGGGCTTTTGCTGTGGTTCCCTGCTGACTGGCAACAGCATCTGGGTGCACCTGTGGTTCCTCTTCAAGAGCTCCTGCAGCACTTCCTTCCTCAGACAGCCCAGAGTGAGATGCTACACAGGCCTTTATACCTGGTCTCCAGCTGGAGGATGCCCAACAGGGCTGTGAGGGTGGGGCCACCTCAGTCAGATGGACAGGGTTAACCCTCACAACCCCAATGTGGGGTTGGTACATCCCATCACAGACATATCGAATTGGTGCAAATTTGTATTGGTATTCTGCTACATGAGGTCAAGAGTTCTCAGAAACCATTCTGATTCATTTTCTCAAAGGAAGCAACTGCATTTTTGCATGGTGCCTTTGAACTTCAATCATGCTGTTCTGAGAGAACAACGCTCAGGGTA